CCTCCCCTCCCCCACCGCATTCCTCTGACGTCGGGACCTCGCGACCCCGCCCTCGAGTGGGACCAGCGCCGCCTTCCTCCCGGCCCTCGGGTCACGTGTCTAGGACCTCTGGCCGCCCCCTCCCCCCGTTTGCGCTCCCCTCTTCCTCTGTGGGTTCTCCCCGCTGTCGGCGCCACCCAGCCTTGTGCCACTCGCCCCTCTTTCGATTTCCGTCCCAATTTCAAGCATTGAGGGTTCCAATTTCAGGAATCCCTTTTCCCCCGGCGTGGGAAGGTTCGGGACCTGTTGGGGGCTGTTTGTCCCCACTTCCCGGGACTCACCAGACTTTCTAAAGGCTGTGTGGCTGTGCCCTCCCCACCACCCATCCCCTGCCAGCACCCTCCCCACCCTCTCCATTGGGGTCCAGTGAATGGGGCAGAGCATAAGTCCTGGTGGCCTGATCTCGTCCCAAATGGAGGGAGGCCTGGCCAGGACACTTGGCTGCCCACGAGGACCCCTTTTGTGCCACATTCGCACTGTTCCGAGGCATGTTAGAGGGAGGCCCGAAGGAAGCTCCCTCACAAAACCTGCCACGAAGCCCATGCTGACTCAGAGCGACCCGACAGGACAGGGTAGAACTACCCCCCTGTGGGTTTCCGAGACACGAACTCTACAGGAGTGAAAAATCCCCATCTTTCTCCCGGGGGAGAAGCTAGTGGTTTCAAAGTGCTGATCTTGCCATTAGCAGCCCCACGTGTAACCATTAGCCACCGGGACTTTGAATCAGGGAACACGTGGACTCTGCTACCCAGGCTGGTTCGGACTGTCACGTGGAGCCATAGATCAGGGTGACCATGGAGGAAGCCTGCGGACCTGCGTTGGGAGAGACCAGGAAGGCTTTGCGAGGAGGGGGCCTGTGTACTGAGGCTTAACTCTGATTGGTCGGTTAGTGGATTGGGGGGGGGGGTACCAAGTTGAAGGGGCTGTCTGAGCACAAAAGATCTCGTCTGCAAACGGAAAAGGTGACTGGGGCTGAAGTGAACGGCTCAGGGTCCGAGAACCCTCGAGACAACTCAAATTAGAGCTAGAAAACATTCCTCGGGCATTGTGAAGGTTAGACGTGGAGAGGAACTGGGTGTTGCCCCTGCGTCGTCGTCGACCAGTCTCCCAGCGCTGGGCACAGCAGGCACCCTGGCATTGCAGCCATTGGGGCAGTTGCGACTCCGAAAGCACATTCGCGCGAGCATCCCCGGCCGGTAGCCTTTCCTAGACTGCGCCAAAGGCGGTTGCTCCCCTTCCTCAACCAATCAGGAACCGTCGTTAGTGCTACCGTTTGCGAGGGGCTACGTGCCACTCTCTTCTGACCAATGGGGTGGAAAGGCAGAAGATGGGCACCCGTATGGACCACAAGAGTGAAGCGGAGGGGGAGGGCGCATTCTCAGTCTCGTAGGGGAGTGGGCTCCGGAAAGTAGTGGGAGGGCTCGGGGCTGAAGAACTTTCAATTGACGGGTTAGGCAGTTAACCAATGGGGGCGAGAAGGAGGCGGAGCTTTTCGCTGAGTGGGTGGGGACAGACGCTATCCTCGGGTGTTCCTGGGGAGGTTAGGCCGAAGGGCTTTAGTGCCAGAAATTCGACCTATCAAATTCGACTTTATTTTAAGGCGGCGGGTTCAAGGAAATGACTGGCAGGAGCCACTCTCCTATAAGGAGTGTCCAAGACAAGCGTGGGCGGACCCTACCGCCGAACGGTGTGGGTGGCATCCAATAAGCGTCCGAGGAGTGAGGAGGCCTCCCCTCCCCCCCGCGGCGGGACCAGTGGCTCCCCCTATCGGGTGGGGGCGGTGGGTGACGGGCGTGTCCCTCCCCCAATGAGAGGCGGGGGGAGGCGGGTTCAGAGCCGCCATGTCGCGGAGGCTGCTGCCCCGGGCGGAGAAGCGGCGGCGGCGTCTGGAGCAGAGGCAGCAACCGGACGAGCAGCGGCGGCGGGCGGGAGCGATG